ATAGGCTGCATTTCTCCTCACATCTCCCATCTACACCATGGTTGTCGAATACAAATTTATCACTCTTATGTTCTTCCTTTGTTTGATTACTGCTCTCTCGTTTGGTCCTCCGGTCTATCCTCCGCTCTTATGCATCGGTTAGAAGTCAACCACCGTAAATTACTTCGATTAATATTTCGCATGCCCCCTCTGACCTCCTCTCAGACGCTATACATATTGGCTTCCTCTTCCCCTCTCTCAGAAAACTTTCCCCACTCGGCATGCAAATTCATTCACCGTATTAAGCTTCAACTTGCTCCTCCTCATGCACTTGCGCATTTAAGCTGGTTCAATAATAGCTCGCGTACTAGATGGCCCAGAATCAGCGAAAACCAGGCTTAGGGTGAAATTTCTCAAAAATGACTTTTTCCCATTTTCAGCTTCTACTGGGCATGGGCGGTCAGGAAACAAAATATTACAGGTGTGGGTCGACTCATAGTGGTATTAAAAGTATCTCAAACACACCAGGGTATTGTGTTAAAAAATCCAAAAAATACACAAAATTGTTATCACAGGAAAGAAATGAAGAGAGATCCACCAGACTGAAGGAAGAGACATGGATGATTTTTGTTTAGGTGACATGACAAGGTAGGCATGTGCCATGATGTGGGGGCAGGCTTGTTGTGGCCCCTTGCAGGCCTTGGTGCTGCAGGCTGTAGTGGCCATGCACAGTTCTACATGAATTTTGTTTGCTTCTCATTCAGCACATTCTGGGGCTGAATACATGTACTGGCATGCTCTGGTCTGGCGCTACACACCACAAGGAAACCCGACTCCAGTTGAGATGGCACCTTTTGAAGGGTGAATCTAGTACAACTGTTCAGAATCAAGCAAGAACACAGCCTTTCAAACTGTTCCACCATTCATAGTAAGCGCGTAGTGTGCTGGCGTGCTGCAGCATCTGCTTGGTGCTGACCAACAAGTGAAATATCAGCACGCCGTACAATCCCTTGCAGCTAACTGTCCAGCGAGGAAAGTCTCGAGTGGGGCCTCTCGATCTGCTCGCTAATTCGCCTGGCACTCAGTAGCACTTCATCGCCAAGGACTTCAATTCAAAACAGTTTTCACACTGCGCTTCAAGCCTTTTTCCTCGCGAACTTGCTGCAAACGTATGAGCTCTGCTGCGCGTGTTCCCTTTGCGTGAGGCCCAGAAACAGCTAGTATCTCCGTACTTCGATTGGCTAGATCGATGTCGTCCAGGTTCTCCTCGCTATCGCCATCACGACTCTAACTGGAGACGATTTCTTCACTATTTTCCGCAAGCAGCAGCTAGCGCAGGAATTTCGCCATCCCTGAGTGCAGGAGATGGAATCCGTTCGATCAGCTCAAAAACTCTTCGCTGTGACCACTGGTGACTAGAGGAGTAGCAGGGAATATTCTACCGGAAGCCCTTTGACTTCCCTGACTGCTGAAACCCTTCCTGCCATGACTGCTACTTCTTCAAGCAAGCGAGATTCTCTTTTGTTCCACTTCACTGCACTCGATCGTCCACGCGACACAACCTTTTTACAAAACATCATTTTTCTCAAAAAAATGATTTTCACCCTAAGCCTGGTTTTCGCAGATTCTGGGCCAGATGTTCTCTCCATTTCCCACTTGCCAGATCATCGATCCTTTTAAAATCCCCTCTGTTCAAGTCCTATTCTCATTGGTATCGGCTTCCGCAGGAGGTAAGGTCTCGTGACACCTTCGCTGCATTTTGTTCCATTCTGCCCGCGCCTAAGTTGAATTGAATTGAATTCGTTGTTTTCCATTGCTAGCCTAATCTTCCTACTGTTCTCTCCAGGTTCCTATAGTACTCCTTTTGTTTTGTTTTGTTTTCTCTTTTTCTTCTCCTTCTTTTTCTCAGTTGTCCCCACCATGGCTGGTTAAAATCGCCCGCATCACATGCTTATTGGCACTATGTCATCGTGATTGTGGAATAATAATAATAATATTGCGGTCAGCTGAATGTTGCCAGCTGTGTTTGATGGTACGGTACAGTACGGGACAGATATGGGATAGCGCCAGGCATGACACAAACAGACAAACAAACAAACACACAAATAGCAAATTAAAGCTGTGTGGAGCTAACGCCAGACGTTACTGAAGTAACGTCTTCAGCATAAACACGGGAATAAAATACAGTGATGAAGTTGGTTGCTACAACGAGGAGCACACGCTTCTTGCCGAACTTGACACTTGACTGACTCACGACTGCCATCCGGAGCACACGAGCGTGTGCTCCTCGTTGGAGCAACCAACTTCATGACTATTACCGTCGAAGTCGCAACTTCTAAGTTCGTAAAATACAGTGAGTTGTACAAAACGACTTCCTGATTTTTCTTGCTCTGTGCTGAAGACCGACTACTAAGTATACGAAGCACGTCCGTTCTTCGGTCTGGGCATTTCTGCCTTAGACTATTTGCTCATACATTTAATTTTCCCATTTGCATCTTTCGTCGTAGAACCTGACTCACATTATGCCATGTTGATGCCACGATGGTATGCTTTGAAAGAAGAATCGTTTAGACAAGAATGTTATTGTTTTTTGCTGCTTTTGACGACGATAATTACTATAGTGGTAAAGACACATCTGGCGATATGGCTTTAAATACACGTCTGCCAACATATCCTTGCCAGGCTGGAAAGCTCTGGCACAGAGCTCTCCTTCTGACTCTAACCAACATCATATCGCTCTTGGTGCCTAGTCGATGCATGGTTTGAGGTATCAGACATGCCATGCTGGTATGTCAGGTAGCGCATGGCATAATAGATGACACAGCAACAGCGTTATTCGATTGGGACGTACGTTTCGTTCCCGCTGGACTCATCAGGCAATCGTCTTCTTGGATATCTTCAAATGGAGCTTGACTCCTTAGAAGGAATTTGAAGACAACACGGCAGTTGTACTTATGGTTGATTTAATATGGTGGTAAACACATACCTAGTCATATGGCAGTAAATACATGCCAGTTCACACCCGCTGTGGCACATAGCTCTCCTTCCTACGAGAGACGTGTTTAATGTGTTGTTTCCCGGCGTTGTGGAGAAGGAGGATTATGTCAGCGTTCCGGCAAAGAACGCATACTCCTTTCAGTTTGGACCACCATGTCTTGTCGCGAACTTAGCCGCAGGTAAGTCGGGCCCTAAAGTGCCGTTACATCTCCAGCCTGGATTGTTGAGGTGTAGAGATAACTAGGGTAAGAGAGTCGGCGGAGGATTGCTTCTTGATGCCATTGGCAAAACAGTGTCGCCATTTGATCCATTCTCTGTCCTTAATACGCATCATTTATGTGCAATCAGGAGAACACACACCACTTGGGATAAGAATAGCGGATTTCGAGAGATTGATGGATAATGAACTGTTCCATGCCTGCAGCGATGGTAATAGTAACTTTTAGGGAAGCCAACTCTGCATTGTGGGTGATACTGAAGGCCCAATGGACGGCCTTGAGGTGTGCTCCGAGTCAACCTCAGCCAGCACGCTCTTAACGCCACACAGTTAGCGTGGTGGTCTGTCCCCGGCTTGTTGAAATGGTCAGGAATTTATCTGATTGAGTTCCATGTTTGTAACGACCCAAAGGTTCAAGTATTTTCGTGCTGATGGATTTTGGAAAGTCGACAGAATGAGGTTTAGTCGGGTGGCACTTCAAGCGGGCTCTCGAAAATGTTTCGTTAGCTCGTGCGTGACACAAAGATCCTCAAGGCTATCCCCGAGAGGGTTTGATTTTTCGCTACCAAGCTAATATTAACAATGCACGTTGAAATCCCCCGCTAGAACTACGTTTGGGGACAGTTCTTTGGCCTGAGGTAGTGTTTCGCCACGTGAATTGATGAGACAGAGGTTGGTGGGGCTACAGGAGTAGGTGAGGTACACAGAACCGATCACCAAACTTGCAACACATAGCCAAAAGTGTTGTATGTTCCGCGGACTGGAGTTAGTCTAGATTATCAGAAGCAAAGGAGGACTTGATCAATACATCGATACCACCTACGTGCTCGTTTAGGTGTCTGACATATAAGAATCCTTGTCCAAGGATGTGAGATTCAAGGTTAGTTATTGCATCAGCAGAGAATACAGCTTCAATGATAATTTTTACATCTAAGTCGTGCTTGATGAGTGCATACCTCAGGACGTCCACTTGAAGGTGTCAACTGGAGCTGCCAAACAACCAAGCCCAATGGAGGAGACCAGCGTCGAACATTACAAAGTCGTCCATCAATCATCATTTTGTCGTGCAGTGCTAGTTGTCGGAAGTTGTAGCGTGATGCTATATTAAGATTAAACTTGTGGAAGGTTACACCTTTCTGTGTTAGAAGCGCTGTGTATTCCTAACATAGATCCAGGACTATGTGTATAGAAGGAGAGTGTGTTATCTTTGCAGATGCTTGGTGGCACACCTAGCTCAGGAAAGTGTGCCCAGTATTTCCTGATCTGTTGGCCATGTTTGTCTATAACTCGCAGGTTCCGTTTTTGGAGTTTAACACATTAATCATTTTTCAATTAGGTAAGAGTGTTTCCTTTTTTCTTTCTTTCCTTATTAAAAACTTTATGTAGTTACGTTTTTTCCAAATTACCAACATTCCCTGTACTATCTTGATGATTCGTGAGGGAAAACGTTGTATAGATGAAAGGAAATGCCTACTTGATAGTGTCGATTTGCGTCTCTGCATGCGAAGGTATAGATTGCGAAAATATCTGGGGTGAATAGTTTTGTTCTAATGTATGTAGTGCCACTCTCAAAACATCTGTTCCAATTTCCCCTGTCTGGTGACCACTGTCATGCCTGAAAATTCTCTTTGCACCTGATCTTGGCGCTTTTCCTGATATTTCTCTGGACATTGGTCTTTTTAGCACTCTAGTCGAGGTGCCTCCACCTTTTGTGGACATATACATGGAGTGGTTCCATTGGTTTATTGGATCATATCAATGTCTTGATAATCGCGTTTTTTTTAAATACAAACTGTCAATTCTGCAGATAACTGGTACGTTTGCTCACAGAGCCAAGAAGCATCGGGAAGCCTCGAAACACTTTACATTCCCACACCTAAGACATACAATGATGCGTCTGCTGAGTGTGCCCGGAGAGGTAGCATTCTGGCAAATATCCAGACTAGATATCATGGAGAGTGTGCAAGAGACCTGCTTGGACCCCGAAACGGTCAGTGCAACAGTTCTTCCAGTGATAACTGCACGACTTCCTCGTACTTCTGCAAAACCAATACATGCAATGTGTGGGTTGCTCTTCAACGAACATCTGGATCCAAAACCTGGACGTGGACGCTACCAGTTCCACTCGCTGCAAACAATGTTTCTTGGATTACTGCACCATTACAAGGAGGAGGTGGACAAAACGAATGCGGGTATTATTCTCCAGAGAAGGAGACCTTTGGATTCGAATCTTGCTCAATGAAGCTAAGTTCCTATTGCCAAAGATATACACCACACGGTAGGGATCTCATAGATAATATTTTAGACATCCATCTGGCTACTCCTATACTTACCAAAATAGCCCTGCTGTATTCACCTACATATGCAGTAAAGGGGCTAATAGCCACCGTTAATTTGCAAACAAAGTGTCATACGTCCCCAGACACAACGGACAACGGAAACTGGTAGTTGGGAAGACATTTACTAAAGACGAAGAGACGGAGACGAAACGAACTACAAGGACTACATTATGGGAAAGAGAGAGAGAGAGAGAGAGAGAGAAATGGAGCCAGGGCGGCAAGATAATTGGCCTGGGTAGCTAGTATGGCAAATATGGGCGGAAAGGTAGCTATCCAGACCAACGCAACAAAATATGACAAAAAATGAGACAACAGTTGAGCGCGAGGGTGAATGCTGGCCAGCTTTGAAACGATTGTAAGCACTTTAGTTGAAAGTCGAAAGCACATAGCCCAATCTATGTAGGCATGGGTGGTAAATGCTAGTAATCTGCCGCGATAATGCTAAAGGCGATGCTCATAATATGAGGATATAATGTCACTGAAAATGCTCACACTACTCCATAATGCCAGTTTGAAAGTTGGAAAAGTCGATTTAAGAAGGCCGTCTTAAATCATGGCCAAAGCGTACAAGAACAAAACTTAAGCAGCATGGAGCATATTGTCTGAAAAAATCCACTATGAATGTTGATTTGCAACGTCAAGTCTCCGGACGAAGGCGGGTGGGTTCAAATGCACGATTTTCGGAAGTGGACCTAGCCAGCTTCATGCATGACACCGTTGCCGACCGGCAATTATGCTTATAATTCCAATTTTGCATGCAAGATGGTGTTATAATGCCAGCATTATGCCACCTGGAAAAATGGACTGTATTGCCAGCCATAACGCTAGCATTACCCGCCCATGGCTAAATCCATGATCATTACCACTTCTACCATAATTATTACAAAGACCGTGATTGATGTACAATCCCGCTTTCAAAACTTTAGGCAGCCAATGACCACTTTGCGGTCATAATGCAGGCATTTATAGCCAGCTTCGGGAGCAGGAAAATTTATAGAAAATCGAAAAAGGAAAAAGAAATAGTTGAGAACTTGTGGCAGGGTACGTGGATGCTGCTAATGGGGTTTCTCCGTCACGCGCTTCATCTGCCGCTAGGGTGTAATGGGTGTCCTGCCGTCTTGACCTCCAGTTGGAAACGGACACGATAATAATATTTACTATTTTAAGCACGAAAGACTTGGGCAATTTGATGTTCTTAAGAGAGCATGTCTGAGAAAACCAGAACATATGTGCAAGTCGATCTCTCAGATTTCGCTCAAATTTTGCAGGTAGGTTTGCTTTGGGGTGTAGATCGACATTCCAAAGCCCGCGCAAAATCTTTTGAAGGGAACTATGAAATTGGCATACCCCTCAATATTGGCCCAATATTGGCACGATTTATGTGTCTACAAACGAGCCACGGCACAGTGTACAAGAACAAGCTACGAACAAAACTCCATCAAGCCAACATTACCTCACCTTAGAAGAGTTCTTGGGGAAGCACCACTTAGCCACGCCAGCATCCCAGAAGACGAGGGCAATCATCCATGACGCCACAAATGATCGTCTTGAAAATAGCCAAATTACAAGCGCTGATAAAACAGCGAGCTACGTCCTCAGTTAGCAAACACTATTCACCTGCAGATAGTAGAACACCTCTTCTAGCACTGAGGACATGTCCCCCTTCATCCTTTTGGGGTTTTCTTGAAATAAACAATTTTGAATTTTTCCACTCGACCATTCTGAAATACGTCCAAACTCATACCTGCGCAGGAAAGCTCGCCCCTCCGCGACGTCTAGACAGCACTTTCTACTCCAACACCACTCCCAACGCTGCAGAACAAAGTGCATTGTTGACTCTGACAAGGAAAAGCAGCGGTGATCACTTGTCACTCCAAACGACAAGCTTCTCCTTGCGCCACCAACATTTTTAGTTGCAACAGTTGATGCAAAAGGGACTGAATTTTTGCGTTTTCTCAATCATGGTCTTAGACCATCCCACTATGCCTGGCTGCCTGATCCAAGAGGGTGGTGGCGTTCCTGCGGATGCGGAAAACTGGGCCTTTGGCCGAGTCTCACGCGAACCGTGAAATATTAAATACAAATAATCTACGTGGAGATGAAAGTTTCATAATAGCTATGAAAAGTATGAATGCCGCAGACATCACCACACAACATGACAATTTGATCAAGGTTTTGTTTTGTGTGTTTCCAAGATCGATTTTCAAGCTCCGATCATTAGTGGAAGTACGGAACTAAAGTGGTCAAGGGAAAAACAAAGGTTAAAAATCCAAAGAAGTGTGACACATGACGGGTAACTTGTGGTAAGTATTACAAAAAGTGAGAACTTAGATAAAGAGTAAGTGTGACAAATGGGCATGAACAGTGCAGAAATAACTCATGAACACGGGGTGCAAACTCACAAAAATAACCTAAGTTCTAAAACATGTTCTTTTTGCTTACACGAATCGGGCTTATGCGTAAGAATACAAACAGCTTCAAGGACCTTCAACATCTGGACATAACGAGCACGACACAGTACAGAGAAGTGGGAATCATCATACACACTCAAACAATCGGGACGAGATAACAAATGCAAGTACACAGCTGACTTCTTACGAATTTCACACTAATCAGCTACATCACCTTCCCTGCCACCTAACTCCTCCTCGTCCGTTTTATCACTATCACCACCAGCCGTCTCATCGTCATCCGTCTCGTCGTCATCCGCCGCCTCGTCATCACCCGCCTCGTCGTCATCTGTATCCTCGCCCTCATCCGCCTCTTCGTCATCTGTATCCTCGTCATTTGACCTGTTCTGCTGAATTATTTTTTTCCACACGTATAGCGTGAGGTTCTCGATCTATGCTTTTGCGGTAGCTCTATAAATTGCTTTATTTTTCCATTTTTCCATTATTCCCTGTACTTACCCATGATTAGAACAGAACGAAAACGTTCGGTTGCCAAATCGGCTTACTTCACTGTGTGGATTGCGTCGGTGCGGACACATTTTCTTTCAAACATTGGATACGCCTCCAATTTGTCCGTAATGAAAATAATTTTTTATATTCTTGTATGACTTGCACTACTACGATGCATGTACAGGTAGTATCACTGTTGCCAATCAGTGGCAAGTTGTAGTTGCTGTGTGGTCACCAGGAACAGAGCTGAGCATTGGCTCCGAAATACAAAACAAGCACAGTTCTGTATGCTTCACCCACAATGATTGTCCTGGCAAACCTGGCAAATCTGGCCAAACTGGATAACCAGATTCCAAATTATCTCAATTTCCTTCCGGCATTTGTAACAGATTCACTGTTACTACTAACACTAGGAATAGGATACACTTATCACCTGCTATCTTCACGCTGCTGCTGTTAGGTGTTATGTCCATCATTGCTTGTTCATGTATATAAGAATGCATTATGGCAAGGATCATGGCTTATTCCAAGAATGACTACTGAAGTTAGTTGGACTGTTACACTGGTAGCAAGAGGATGGTTTTTCTTTTCGTCATGTTCGGGCTATGCGCAGTGGCCGCATTAATCGCCTACGGTATATTCGAGATTCAGAAGCGTCTGAATCACCTTATCGCACTCGGTCAGTGCGATGGATCAGATCAAACGCCAAGACGTGCTCAAGCTCCCAGCGGAGAGAGGCCACGCATGCGCCATGTTAAGTCTCCGCCTGTGTTTCGTGGAGATACAAGAGAGTTCAAGGAGTGGGCCTTCGCCATCGAACTCGCCATGAAGTCCCTGCAGCTGGACAACGCGGAGGAGCGCTTGAGCTACGCGGCGAGTTTTCTGGAGGGCAACGCTCGTCTTTGGTTTATCGCCTCTCAGGAGGCAAGCACGCTGTTTTCCGACTGGCCAGACCTGAAGAGCAAGCTGGGAGAAGTGTACGGCCCGGTTTATGACAGGGAACAGGCGCGCATCGACTTATTCGCTCTTCACCAAGATGAGACTCTTGACGAATACATCAACAAATTTTCGCGGCTTAGCTTACAAGTTCCCGAGCTTGATGACCACTCCAGAGCTATCTTGTTCACGCGTGGGCTGGCTCAGGGCCTAAGCGGTGAGGTACTTAGGGAGCATCCGCAACATTTGGCCCAAGCCATACGAGCTGCGGTCTCAGCAGACCAGTCGATGCGGCTAGCCCAAGCAAGCTACGCCAAGGCAGTGCGCGCACCAGGGCATCAGAGGCGCCAGCCTGGACCCTGGTCAAGCCAACCAACACCATCCGGTGGGAGAGAAACCAGGGAGCCAGAGGGTCGTTCAAGGCTGTGTTTCACCTGCAGGAAACCCGGCCATATTGCCAGATTCTGTCCAGAAGGAGGGAGGAACGCCACAAGCAAGCCTTCTTTAAACGATGGACGCCAGTAAGGAAGGGAGTGCGACTACTGGCGAACACGAGAGCACCCAGGAATAGGCCACGAATCAAAGTTCAGAACAAATTCAGCCCCTTAGCAAATGAGGAACCACGCCTCGAGGAGACCGAAATTCAAGCCTCGCCTGTCAAGCATTCGTCACCTGATACTGTTGGCCGGCCTAATGAAGTAACCGCCAGCACAGGGAGCATTTCCGCCGACAACGAACACGACCTAATGCGCGTCCAGGGCAAGATAAATGGACGTCGCGTTACCATGCTACTGGATTCTGGGTCAACCCACGACTTCATTTCAACTGACCTTGTCAAGAAGCACAACATCTCCACAACAACCGGTAGCGACGTCCTGAACGTCACACTTGGTGATGGATCGGTCCGCTCACAGCCTATTACGAAAACGGACAGCTTGAAGACCGTAGTCGGCGACTTTAGCGAGCACCAACAGTTCCTAGTATTCCCTATGACGCGGTATGACGTGATCCTCGGCAAACCATGGCTGACCCGGACGAACCCACAGATCAATTTTCGTACCAATGAAATCAAGCTGGAGGGTGGATCCATCATCTGTCAACCG